GAGTATCCCACAAGAGTTTCCTACAAGAGTGTCCCACAAGAGTGTCCTACAAGAGTGTCCCACAAGAGTTTCCTACAAGAGTGCCCCACAAGAGTGTGCCACAAAAGTGTCCTACAAGAGTGTTCTACAAGAGTATCCCGCAAGAGTGTCTCACAAGAGTGTCCTGCAAGTGACCCACAAGAGTGTCGCACAAGAGTGTCTCACAAGAGTGTCCCACAAGCGTGTCCTACAAGAGTGTCCTACAAGAGTGTCCCACAAGAGTGTCCCACAAGAGTGTCCTATAAGAGTGTACCACAAGAGTGTCCTACAAGAGTGTCCCACAAGAGTTTCCTACAAGAGTGTCACACAAGAGTGTCCCACAAGAGTGTCCCACAAGAGTGCCCTACAAGAGTGTCCTACAAGAGTGTCCCACAAGAGTGTCCTGCAACCGTGTCCCACAAGAGTGCGCCACAAGAGTGTCCTGCAAGAGTGTCTCACAAGAGTGTCCCTTAAGAATGTCCGACAAGAGTGTCCGATAAGAGTAACCCACAAGAGTGTCCTATAAGAGTGTCCCACAAGGAGTGTCCTACAAGAGTGTCGTGTAAGAGTGACCCACAAGAGTGTCCCAGAAGAGTGCGCCACAAGAGTGTCCTACACGAGTGTCCTACAAGAGTGTCCCGCAAGAGTGTCCCACAAGAGTGTCTTGCAAGTGACCCACAAGGGTGTCCTACAAGAGTGTCTCACAAGAGTATCCCACGAGAGTGTCCTACAAGAGTGTCCTACAAGAGTGTCCCGCAAGAGTGTCCCACAAGAGTGTCCTATAAGAGTGTCCCACAAGAGTGTCCCACAAGAGTGTCCCACAAGAGTGCCCTACAAGAGTGTCCCACAAGAGTGTCCTACAAGAGTGTCCCACAAGAGTGTCTCACAAGAGTGTCCCACAAGAATGTCCGACAAGAGTGTCCTGCAAGTGACCCACAAGAGTGTTCTATAAGAGTGTCCCACAAGAGTGTCCTACAAGATCCTACAAGAGTGTCATTTGGACATATGTAGCTTTTCGATCGTGTTTGCATTCGGGTTCGTGGGCTCCATCTTGTTTGTTTTTTTCGTTTGATTGTGAGGTATCGTTTGATGTGCCCAACTTACTGGGGGTTAGGAGTCCGGAGGGACCCTCCACATCACACGGCGTGTGGAGCCTTGAACCTCCATCACTTGACGCTGTAAAGAGTCTGTGAATCTTAATATCTCCCACATCTCCGAACAAAGAGCTCTTCTGCAGAAGAATGATCCAACCCTTCCCTACGGCTTTTCCACTTTTCACCTCGACATTTGTTCCATTGGCTTTGGCCAAGTGGTGGTGTTGTCTCAGCTTGGACACCACCAAATTGCATGGGAAGCCGATTTCGGACCGCCCCCCAAAAACGGTGGCCGACGCCCCATCGCCACTACGGTCGCCCCCAGGAAGATCCGCTGCCCGGTCTTGATGATTCACGGGCGCCGGGATGACATGATCAACTTCCGACACGCGGAACAGCTGCATGAGGCTGGCCGAGCTCTGGCGGTTCCCGGCCGGGCTTCGGACTAGCGGTTTTGGTGCGGTTTTAGGGCTGGGGGCGGTTTTGGGCATGGTTCATACAGAGTGGTGAAGTTCCAGAATCCCAAAGCTGCAATGGCCTCAGTTCATGATTGTGGTGGCTCGAAGCCAAGCAGGCCAACAAATGTCTGTAGCAAGCGCCAGCAATCTTCCGAGATTCTGGAGCAAGGACATCTCTTTGGAGCACCTTGTCGCTTTGGTCGAATGGGATTGATCACTAGCCAGTAGGCACCTGGCAAGTGGATATCCGAGTGTGTTTGTGAATTGGCGAATGGGATCAACATATAGCAAATTTCATACATTGAAACCAGGAAGTTCCTGGTTCATCCTTCCATACCTTCGACCCATTGCAGACCTGCATTCTGCATTCTTGAAAACGTCAGGCGATCCCTACGCGAAAGCTTCTGGTGAGTCCTCCAGCCATGCTCCACAACACAAACCTCATGAATGACATGAACTACCTGGCCCCTGGGCGTCGGGCGGGCTACGCGGGGCGTTCCTGGGGTGCTGCCGCGGTGTTGACTGCTGGAACTGCAGGGTCCAAGGTTTCTGGTCAGAACCAATCGTTGGATTGGCGCTTTTCGTGAGAGCAGCTGAAATGGAAGAATGCTCCAAACACTGGCCATTCACCGGCTTCAGTCCTAGTGTGCTGGTCGGGCTTTTCAGTTGGTTCTTTCCGGGTGGGGATCCTGCAAATACAACGTTGAAACGCGTTGCTTTCATTTCACCCGCTCAAAGCTCCAAGAAGCTCTTTGGCACACCAAGTCATAAAGAAAGACCAAGCTCTTCTATCCTGCCCTCGCCAAGGTCATGCCTGCGACACACTTCTTCTCCTTACCAGACTATGTCTTCCACGACATGAGGCGCGGGCTCTCGGTTCGGTTTGTCGACACGCTCGTCCCGATGTGTTGGATCGATGGGGACGAAGCGGATTGTCTCCAAAATTCGCTCGGAAGGGAACGGGGATTCTGTCAAATCCCATAAAAGAGACACAAAACCAATCCTCTTCACTCGAAACCTCACAAAGAAGACCGCCACGTGGCCGTCCAATCCACCGGGCCGGCGCGCCCGGCCGCGCGGGTGGCCGCCTGGCTGGCAGGGTGCCGCACTGGGCCTACACCCTGCGGCCCAGTCCGAAGGCGCCCAAGTCTTTGACGCCGAACAGGTCCATCGCGCCCGGCGGCTGGGATCCCTTCGTTCCGGGACCCGGGCGCTCTCTTTCTCTTTTGGGTGGGGGGGACCGAGATGGACTCGAGGAACTCCTTCAATTCGTATAAATAAAAAGGGAAAGGATTCCATCAGGGGGATTCTATGATTGATTACAGCCATGACGAAGAGGCTGAAGAGAGTGGACTCATGTCCAGATCTACAAAACTACCTGCCTTGTATTGGGGAGATATTCAGGGCGACTCCTTCAATTCGTACCATTGAATCCTCTGTCTGTTGAAGGATTTTGACCTCGAGGCATCGCATTTTAGAGAACAAAATGGACAGCGGAAGATCAACGGAGGACTTAAGTGCAGCTATGAGAGCAGAGGATAAACTTGGGTTTCCTTTGGGTCACTGATTTGTGCTGTGTGGCTATCGAGAAGTTCGTCTTGGTGTGCTGAGAAGCACACCGGGGTGGTACGTGGTACCTTTGTTTGATTCTGACCCGCAAGAACAATTTTATATTCAGGACATGGAAGATGGACTCATCCAGGTCTCCTTCTTTTTTGCAAGTCATGAGGGATCGTGCAAAAACAACTGCAGACCGAAATTCTGATGGTCTGCAGCACCTTCGCATTGCTTGAGGAAAACTGGAGTCCTTCGACATGTGTTGTGGAACAGGCGACTTTGGACGCTGATGGGCCGGTTTTGACGTTGTTGAAGGGCTTTCCACTGTTGGGTTCGACTCCACATATTGAGTGCAATAGGTGATTTGCTAACTTGACTCCCTCAACTTAAACAACATGTGGGACATGGTGTTTCCCAGTCCATATTGGTATCCATCCGCGAAGTAAGCGCCGCAATTCCAACCGTGGCAAGCACAATTGCAAATGGATGCGCGTAGGTTCTGTACTCACAAACGCGCACTACAACCACATGGTAGAGGGAGGGATATCATTTCTCAAATCTTCAGTATCCCAGGTTGGTAGTATCGTCAGTCCAGGAAAGGGAGAGATCATTGCGAAGAACAGGGCAGTCTGGTAGACTCTTCGATGTCATGCATTGTCACACAGTTGGCCTCCACTCGAGGAAGGTTCGGCCATGTTTGGATGACCAAGGCTTTTCTTAATGAGAGAATTATTGGATCCATGGATCTCTTTGGCTGTCACTAGTAGGTGCTTTTCAGCTGCAAGGTCCCAGGTACCACCCCCAAGAACCGTTTCGGCACCCGGGAGACACGTGCTCGGCATCCCAACCCCGACCGAGCGGGGGGGGCCTTCGGATCGAGGCCCAGGGGTTCGGCTCGTGGACTGCTGCAGCCGTGCCATGGTGGACTTGCATGAGGCCATGGACACCACACAGGCGGACTCCGGGTCGCGGGTGGACCGATTTGAAATCCGTGTGGCCCTCCGAGTGGTGAAAGAGACCGCATGCCCTGTCGGAAAGACCATTTTTTTCGAACACCAAACAGCTAGTCGCGGGCAAGAGCCTATGGCGTGCACAAGAGGAAAGAGAGGAACACCAAACAGGTGGGTGGTTTTCCACCTTCCATGTGAGTTTTCCCCCGGAGAGTAGGACGTTTTGCTTTTGCCCGTCGAGCCTTCAACACTCCCAGGTGGGTTTGGACGTCACGAGCCTCTCACAACAAGGCGGCTTCGCGGCTTCGCGGGTTTCGCGGGTCGGGTTTGGACTCGCCAAAGCGACGTTTTGGCTTCAGGAGGGAGGAGAGACTGAGGAGAGCCCCTGGGGGGTAGAGTGTTTTAGTGGAGTTTTCCTTTTATATGAGGGTTTGGGGCCGGGCATATTCTCTCTCTCTCTCTCTCGCTCTCTCTCTCTCTCTCTGTCTTTCTTCTTTCTTTCTGCCTGTCTTGAAGACACAGTCTACATGGGACACGTGATTTGGGATTGGTTGTGGATGTTCTCGGATTTGTTACTATGGTGTCTTTTCGTCCAGAGGCACCATAGAAGAGACCAACTGATTGAGATGCATGTGTGATGGCCCTGTCAGGCCTCGACCAATATCAATCTGCGAACGGAGGGATCATTGATCAAGCTTTTCCATCCATAGAATTTACAGAAACACTGGAAAGGTGCTTGGGTACTCCGTTGGAACGAATTCGTCGCCAGGCGAGCTGTGGGAAGACCCAGCGCAACCCATTGCGGTGTCCATGCCAGCACTGGTGGGGCCAAAAGAAGCTCAGCACCAGGTGGGATGTGGCGAAAGCGATGGTGGGGGGGCGATGGCGAAAAGAGAGTCCTTTCAGTAAAGCATGTCCTCCGTTGTCCTGTGAGCATTTCCATCACGGACGACCCCACACCGGACCCTCGGACGGACCGACCCCACATCGGTGGCGTCCAGACACGAAGAAAAGCGACGTCCAAAACTGATCTTGGTTTGCTGTGTATGGCATTCAGGACCAGAAGTTTGGACATGTTTCTCTGGCAAAAGACTGCCCGGTTTATTGTGCTGCACCACAAAAGGTTTGTTGATATGCTATAAGCGAAGTCCTATTCTGTGGCCTGGAGCACAATTCAATTTGTTCTTTCTATTTTCGACACAAACATCCGTTGCTCTCCATTCGTTTGACACATTTTCTCCCCACATGTTCCAGGACTTCCAAGAGGAGGTGGTCACACACAAGACCATCATCATTCTGAAGGAGGACGTCCAAACACGGGATTACCATTCCGCGTGCAAACAGGAGGACGTGGCGCGGTACCGTTTGCCGTGAGGGCAGCATCAAAAATACTGGGTTTCTTATGCTCTATTTACAGTAGTTTTGATGAATAAAAGAGACAATTATATAATTCCTTACAATCACATCCTAGGTCCTAGATCTCCACATACGGTACCAGATTTCTACTTTGCTTTACTCCGCTTTGCCTTACTCAGTTCTTTTGGCCACCGTAAGATATTGTTAGAATGAACCTTGGCATGCCACTCTGTTCGAGGGTTGACCTGTTCCAAGGTTCAAGTGGATGGTCTGCAGCAGTTGTCTGTATCGTTTATATAATCGAGGATGGACGTGGAGGGTGCTGAAACCCCAATCTCCGATGGTTGAACCCCCAAAATGTTTTGCCAATGCCCGATCTAAATGGGCTCAGGAAGAGTGAAGGTGAAGCCTTGGTTGGTAAATCTTTTCGTCATCGGTTTGATCACATGATTTTACCGGCCTACTTGGTTGGTTCTCAAGTGGACCAGTTCCATCCCCGCCTGAGTCTGATCTCACTTGCACTTAGGAGCCCTTCTCCATTTCCATGTGAGCGGCAGAGACACGGTCGAGCTGCGTGCATGTGGACCATTGCAAGTAGGGGTGAAAGATCATGTTGGTATCAGTGAACATGCCCAGGTGTCGAGTTTGGGGGTGGTTGGCGGATTTCTGTGCACGGCGGGGATTGGTGCAACCCATGCAGCTCCCAGACTCGACCGAGCTGCCCACCGCGATAGAATGCGTTGGATGTGCGGAGTATCCTCAGGACAGCTTGAAGAGAAGCTCACTGAAGAACTATCTCCCTTGCAGGAGTCTACCTTGGATTCAAGCAGTTCCTTTGGATGCTTCCATTTCAGGAGAGGCTTAGCCCAAGAACCGTACTCCAGACACGCCTCAGTTGCTTTTCGGTGTGTCTCTTTTCATGGCCACACCGCTTCAGCTCTACCCCCCCTTGCAGTCCAACATGGCAGCTGAAACCACAAAAAAACGGGAGACAACGTGTAAGACCCCAGCGTTGGACAAACGAGTCCAGCGTCAAAAAGAACAACATGTTCATCATTCATCGCTGCATCCAGCGGGTCTGCAAGGGGTTGCAAGCCTCGGTCAAAAGGTCCGAGGATCCGAGGTGGTCTCGTGGTCCGACACGTGACACGTCCTGTCGTCCGCTCTGTGGTCCGACTCAGTCCGGACCTCGGAAGGCTCAGAAGGACCAGGGTAGGCTTGAAGACATCTCAGTGATCATTTAGTCTGTTCAAGTTGAATGGAATCTTGCGGGTGGCCCAATGGAATTGAAGACGCAGCACCGCAGCACCGTCTCCTTTTCAGCAGGCCTTCCAAAGCCGTCGCAAACGACTCTTGCCTGCAAAGGCAGGCCCAGCGGCCTTCATGTCGGCGCCAGAAAAAAGCAAGCCTGGCAGCGAAATAGCAGCGCAGGGTTAGGACGGGATTGGGGAGTGGGCAGACTTTGCAACAAGAAAGACAGCTGGTGCTTGAAATGCGATCCACCCTCCTCGACTCCATCTTGAGAGGGTTGCTTCTTGGACCAAATACTGCACCAAAACCCAACCGGACAGTCCGGTCCATAGCATTTTGTGGTTTCAAACCACATCAAGCCACTCTCCTTTTCACCTACGACACCTCACGGCCCAATTCATTTCCCCACGTCTCCACGCTTCTTCCGCGCTTCGGTCGGTCCCCGCAGGCCCTTCAGATTGCGCCTCGCGTTCGCTTCTTCTCGCGTTCGCCGCGCCACTTCGACGAGGGGCCTGGCATCGGCTCGGGTTCCTCAGAGCCGAGCCGAGTGACTGACTGAGTGGGCCGGTGCTGAGAATGGGGGGTTGGTGGCCCATGGTGTGTGCTGAAAGATTGAAAGACCTCCTCAAAAAGACATGACCAGAAAAACTATCGAAAGCCAGGAGGTGCTCCACATCGCAGTTGATGGAGAAAGGACTTCAAGAGCAGGGAACCACTAGAGGTAGAGAAAGGCTTTGGGCATGCCCAGCTTGTTCGTCCCGGCCTCCCAGGATGGAGCGTCCAAGAAGGATGAAGCGGCGCCGCCGCCTTCGACCTGGCGTGTTGGTCGTGGGGTGGCAGAAGGTTCTTGCAATCTGAGAAGCCGATGGTCAAAACCTGGAGCCTCCCCTTCCGTCGGTAGGTCAAGCAAGGTATCCTGGTGCCATGACCCACAGCTACTTCCCTCCGAGTCAATCAAGAAGCTCCGGGAAATCGAAAGGGAGCAGAGGCATCCTCCAAGCGGACAGAGTCTGCGGATCAGTTGCGTGCCACATGGTCTACGGCTCCTTCAGGGCTCTGTCACATCTAGCGAATCTGATTTGCTTGATATGTCCGACCTGTTCACCCTTTTCTTCACTCTACCTTGGAAATAGTTTGAAGCTAGCGCGAATTATGACCCGACAGTCAAGATGCTTAGAAGTGTTGGTTGTTTGGATGCTTCCCTGGACTGACCCCTGCTTTTTTGAGGGAAGAGGGATCAGTCGGGTCATGTAGGTGTCTGTAGGTGCATCTTGTGAATACACACCTAATCTACATGTTTGTGGACACCTCACCCAACCACTCGTTGCATGTCTCCCAAACCCATCGGTTTACCGGTCTACCGATGAATGCCAGGCCGACGGGCTTGTCATTTGTTTTCTCATCAAACTTTGTGCCAACTTTGGATTCGAGGGGTGGCCATGAAATCTATATATTTCTTTCAAGAAAAGAGAAAAGGAGAGAAGTCCCCGGGCTTTTTTGGAAGACCAATTGTGCAAAGGAGGCTGCAGTCAAGCTGGTGATGCAGGAGACCAAGGCGCAGTGAGGGAGTGAGGGGGTTGGTGGAGAGGCTTACAGTAGAAGAGAATGATGACCTGGCCACTAGTTGCCTCCTACTTAGTGGATGATCCTACTAGTTGGCCACTACTTAGTAGGATACATCACTAAGTAGGCCACTTAGTCAAAAGAAGGATGTATCCTACTTAGTTGCATCCGAGGCGAAGGGCCACTTGGCGAACAAAGACCCATGCAAGACCCATGTACTCCCGGGCGCATGGACCCATGTACTAGCAGCAGTAGCAGCACTGTAGCCTTTTTGAGCGATTTCCTCACACTCAGAGAATGTAGAGCTCATTGACAAGCTGCAAGATACTGAGAAGAACGCACGGAGAAGTGGGGGTTCAAACACCTCTCTCAAATGCCAGAGTTGGATTATTGCAAGAGTTCAAAACAATCTGATCCCAATTAATGCAGATCAACTACAACCCAAATCAACTGATCTGAGGACACACACTTGAGATTTACTACGTACTGAGTGCACCACCTTCCATGATGGCATCCAATGCGCAGTTGTGGGTGGCCATCTAAGGCTCAAAGGGGTTGCCAATCTCAAAGTTCTCCAAGTTCAATATTTTGAACGAAGCTCAAGCGTTGAACGACGAGTGCAAGTCTGCCGACCTACCTCCATCTAACCAGCCTCGTGACTCAATGGAAGTAGGGCTGACGACTTCTTTGAGCACTCATCATGGACATGTAGCAGGTACACCAGGTTGATCAGACCTGGCTTCCACCATAAGGCATAGTTTCGTTGGCATGTTTTTGCATGATGGCTGCATGCCCTCTGCTGTAACAAGTCAAAGGACAACCTATGAATGCAAGGCGTACACCCACAGCAACAAGGCTAAATCAAACTGCCCACGAACTCACAGCACTCTGGCTCATGAACATGGAAGCTGACAAAGTCCATCAGATTGTTTCGCTCACTCAAAGTCCGGGGTTGTCCACCAGCCGATGTGGTTCACGGGATGTGTTCGCGGGGGTCCCAAGAGGTGCCCAATTGCTCTCGCTCGTTCGATGCGACCTCCAACTGATTTGACCTGCTAGGTGAGCCCCAGCGGATCTGCAGACTCGATGTTGCAGGCCCTGCGGGAAGATGAATTCATGACTGAGAAGTTGGTTTGGTTGGGTGCCGTTTGGCAGCTGGTTCGGTTAGTCATAAACTCTAATAAACCATAACCCAAATGCCACCCTTCCTTGTCACCTGCACGATCTGCAAGATGGACCTACCACTGTAAGTCAAGTGGCGGAACCAGGTGGTAAAACTCGGAGCCGCGACATAGGTGCAATGGATTTGGTTTGGATATCAGGCCCTCCACGAGCGTTCAATGAAGGGCGACCGTTGATTCCCCCTGGCATTTGAGTGATATTAAAATCCCAGACCTCAATCAGGAGAGTAGAACCTTTGCCACTGATATGAGTGTCATACAATCCCAACAACTCCTAGGTCCCAGATCAGACCGCCACTTTGTTCAACACCTCTCCAAGCTAGGCCTCCATCCAGTGTCATCAGTTTTCCGCCCCAAAAAACATTTAAGTCACAGAACATCAAGATTCCCTGTGACAAAAACACTTCTTCAACAAACGCCAAGTGGTGTCCAAAACAATTCTCTCGCCAAGCAGGAGCTGATGGATGGGGCATGGGGCCCTGTTCCGCGAGGGTCTTTTTGGTTCTTTCTTGTTCTTTCTATATTTTAGTTTGTATATATTGGTGTTCCTTCAAACTTTATATTTCTGTTCAGACAGGTGACATGAGTGGCACTTGGTGAGTCGCTTTGCTGTTTTGCAAAGCCATTCGGTGGTGTGTGTTTTTTAAAGTACAACCAGTTCCAATGAAGTGCAACTTGGGATGTTTGGTCAGCTACTTTGTGGTGCGCATTTGATGAGCAAGACTGTTTTGATAGTTCTTTGGACTGTCACATCCTTTCATCATACAGGTGAGCCAAAGTGAAGACTTATGGTCCACGAGAAGGGCTGCGATACGGCTTCGCTGCGTTCGTCTTCCTTGCTGTGACGGTCGGGCCGAGGTGCGCCAGAGGCGCGCGATGCTGGGGGGGTCCGCACAGGAGCGAGCGCAGATGGGGGATGTTGGCTTCCGTCAGCCAGTCCGGGAAGCCTAGTGGGGGCGGGAAAAACCGGATAGCTCGATGTCATTCATCTGAGTGTGTAGCTGAAGAAGGGAAATAGACCAGTCTACCCATTGGTTGGAAGTCTCCCCTATAAAAATACACACCCATCTAGTTCTCGTGCTGGGTGGGATCCGACAGCTCATTTTTGCTTCAACATGCACCAGCAGCTGTGAAAGCTAACGTAAGCCCTTTCCATCTCCCGTTCTCCATGATGTTTGAATCTATCTATCTATCTATCTATCTACCTATATATATCTATCTCTCTCCACTTTGCACCTTTGTGGCTTCCCAAACCCACCTTCAGCTCGTGCCGCCCGTTCTTGGAGCTGCAGCCTGCGTGGCCAGCCGAACGAACGCCTGCTATATACAGCCAGCCGACCGGTGCTCTGAGGTTTGGGAGGACACTGATGCCATCAAGAAGCTGAAGCAGGATGAGATTGAGTTGACTCGGAAGGCCGGTGAGAGTGAGTCTTCCCGAGGATCAGTGGAAGACGTGGTGAATCTTGAGTCTGCTGGACTGCTGGACGTGGTGGAACAGCTGTGTAGTGTCACAGGCAGTGACACCACACACCATGATCTGTCCTTGTAGGCGCCAGCTACTAGTGGCTTGTGTGATTTTCCAACAACTTGGCTGACGCTGGAGCATCCTCCATCTTGGACAGCAGGGAAGTACAGCCCCTTCTAGAAGCGATTTGAGGGTTTCTGCTGCGGGATTCAGTCTTCCGATGCGCAAAATGCCAGAAACATAACATCGAACCTTTCTACCCAGATGTGTCTTTGTTGCACTGCAAGGCAACCCTGCTTGAAGACCCTGGTGCATAAGAGTTCTGTCGCTGTACAGTTCTCTTTTCCAGCCACACTTTGCTCAAAAGCTAACCCCAAACTCCAAACAATGTGAAGACATCTTTGCGGAAGCCAACAGATGGTCACAGCCCAGCCTTTGGGTTTCACATTTTCTGGAGCCAGTAGCCTTATTTTTAGCCCGCAGGCGGGGGGTAGGCCGCGGAGGTCGCTAGGCCTAGCTAGTAGCTTACTTAAGCTACTAGGAACTGGACGCAGGATTAGGGAAACTTAACTAGTAGCGTCCTTGCTCCTAGTAGCGATGCCCTTTGTTACTAGTAGCTTCTTGTTAATAGTTGTAGCCTCTAGACAATTCATCTCTACCCTCTCTCTCTCTCTATCTACATCAACACCATTTTTCCCTGAAGGGACCTTGGGGAATTGGGTGGGCTTTTCTCATCAAGTCCAGTCCTCGGTTCTCTCCAGGTAGGCAGTTGAAATGGAAGCGATCATCCAGCGTTTTCGTGCGTTTTAACCCATCCCTGCCGAGCCTGCGGCGAGCCGCACTGATCCTCCATTTCCAGAAGTTTCTAACCAGATCAATTCCAGCAGTCTTTAAGGGGTGACAACCCCGTGAACTGGAGATGACGTGGATGGATTGTTGGGATTAAATCAACAAACTTTGATGCGTGAACTGTTCGATCTGATCCATGCGTCAACTCCTCAGTTCTTGTTTTTTGTGCAAAAGAACATCGTGGACACTGGTGGATAGCTCTCTGTTAGTGGTATGGGCATTTATCCCAAACTAGCCCAAACTCTTGTACCCCCCAAGCTCCAAACAGTGTTTGGAACCCACCATGGAACCCTCCTCCACTCCACGCAGATCTTCGCGCGCGTGGACCCCCGCAGCGATGCGGTCTCCAACCTGCAGGGGTGCGGGTTCGGTCTGGCCGTTTCGGTCGGTTTCAGTGAAGCTCATGGTCGGGTCGGTCTGCCCCCAACGTGAGGGCTCTTTGAACCAGTGGCAAAAAGGAACACGCATTGATTTCTGGGTTTTAAGTTCTGGAGTGAGACATGAAAAAAACTAGAGAGAGTCTTCAACACCGGAGATCGTACATAGCCTCAATGTAGCGAGAATTTTGTGTGAAGACATGTTGCTACGGGCTATTTCTATGTGGGTGTGTGTTAAAAGAGGGAGACCCCCAACCAATAACCCAACCAATAACTTTGTTGCTTTGTTTCTTGTCAAGGCCTGTATTAGGCCTGTTTCCCTTCTTCCAGAAAGTCGATGGCTGGGAGGTTTCCCTATTTGAGCTACACCCCCATGTATCGGCCTGACCATGATCACAATTCTGCGAGGGAAAAAAACATATCAGTATGTATGTTCGATCAAACAGCTAGGCCCAGCTAGGCTGCAAGAGAACCGACATGATGTTTACATGGCACAGAAGACCGACGGGATGCGACTTCAGTCGATCAAATCGACTCACATTTTCATCATGGAAGACACATGCAGCTTTGGATGTTTCAATCCTCTGTACCTGAGCTTGTACCCTTGAAAATGGGACATGATCCACACCATCTTCCCAGGTACTTCCATTGAACCCTCCAGAGTCCGCTGAAGACGCGTGAAGAGCTTGCGTTCAACGAACGAGAACCTGCTGTTTGAATCAGCCAGCCCCCACCACCAGGGCGGCAGCGCGGCATAACATTGATCCCTACTGGAGCCCCTTCCATCAAGTGGAAGACCTGAAAGTACAGGCCTGGAGCTCGGCGGGGGAAGGGAAGGAGGCCGAATCCCAGAAGCTGGCTTGAAGAGACTGTGAACACGGTGTCCTTCAACTGGCCACGGCGTGTATTGCAACGAACCCCCCAACGATCGACAGGGATTTCATCGGTTGGATTATTCTTTTTTCGGGTTTGGAACCCCGTCCTTGAGCCGTGGAAAAGGTGCGACCAGGATTCAGATTTCCTTTGAACATGTCGTGTTCACGACTCACTAGTCTTTGCTCCCTTTTTCAGGATGGACCATCCCGCCCAATCAGACCCTCCCAAAACCTTAGGCGGGAAAGTTCCCTCCCTCCCTCCCTCCCTCCCTCCCTCCCTCGTGAACAGTTCCCTCCCGACTGAACTGGCACCGACTGAACTGGCGAACTGAACTGGTTTTCGACTTGTCTTTGACTCAGAACGACTGCGAGGTCACCGCGGAGTTCGATGAATACCAGCGCATCGTCGGGGCGGCCGAAGCCAAGCGGGTGCGCGGGACATCGGGCCGACCAACCGGTGGTCGGTCTGGTGCTCGTCAACCGGATGGAGTGTGTTTGGATTTCGGCGATTTCGGGACGACCGGTCTCCTTGAGCCTTGGATTCCTTGGAGCGACAACGTCTCCATCGACCGGTCGACCGGTCTACTCTCCGTGATACCGACCGGTCGATCGGTCTCCGTGTTCCGACGGGTCGAAGGCGACACGGTTGGCATGGTCCGAGCTCCGACCTGACTGTCCGAGCTTGGCCTGCAGATGTTTTCGACTGGCCTGGTGCAGATGACGACACCAGGCAGACAGAAATGAACAAGCCCAACGTCTCAGCCTAAGTTATGAGGCTCGTCGTTGAAAGAATGTCTTTTCTAAGCCTGTGTCATATATTCCCTCCCCACATATGAAGAGGATGACACATCTGTTTTTTCATGATGGATCTTCTGCCTGCTGTTAGGACACCGCATGAAACCTTGTCGATTCAGTTCGTTAACGTGTTCCCTCCAAATGCACCCGCCGATCATGCAGATATCTTCTCTCACCTGCCCACACGACCCCGCAGAACACGTCATGTGAGACATCGATGTTCCCATCGGTGCCGATGCCATGCGCTGCTCCTGGAGCCTCTTACGGCGTATCTCTCTGCTCGGGCTATGGCTGCTGGGTGACCCATCGGCACGGAATCGGCGAGTGTGAGGACGAGAACGCCAGGTGTTTGGGACGGGTGATGCACAACAGCAGTGGCAGATGACGCACACCTTTCCCGATCAAGATGTTCAGTTCTGACATGATAGAACACTCCAGGGTCGTCATTGAATATATAGGTCTGCATGGAAATGCCCACTCGGATTTTCTCACTGACTTGGGTGTACCCGCCAAATCTGATCCTTGGAGCATTTGGAGAAGTCTTGGAGCCAATGGAACTCCAAGAACTGGATCTGTCCCAACTAGCACTTCCTTCCACCATCCTCCGCGGCCGCGGCCTCGGCCTCGTACAGCCGAGGTCTCTCCGGTGCCTTTGTGCTGATCCGAAGCCCCTGGCCCACGCGGGGCGAGCGTTGGCTGCCAGCGCATGAGGCCGAAAGCGTTTCGAGGCGCGAGGAAAAGAGCTGAAAGGGACATGTCATGTGTGAAAATGGACTCAGTGGCACACAGTCTTGGCTCCAACTTCCACTTCCCCATTGGCCCATCAGCCTCAAAGAGTTGGATCTCGAAGAGTTCGGTGTCTGCCCCGTCTCCGCCCAGTGCGACACCGAGCCCTTCGAGCCTTCCTCTTCCGACGAACTTGCTGGCCGACGGCGCCGACGGCGCGGACGGCGCCGACCTTGGGCCGAACGTGGTCGAGAGCGCAGCGGCGAGTGCGACGATCCCTGCAGCGAGCAACTGGATCTTTCAGGCGAAGTCGGGAACGTGAAGGCTGAGATTGGCCGGAGTCATCCGGAGTCTTAAAGTGGTGAACTTTCCCTGTATGGGTGTGTTGTTTTTTTTGTTTGGGTCTTATAGACAGTAGAAGATGTAGAAGCTCAATAAAGACATATAAAGACCACCAAAACATTGGTTGCAGGGGTTCCACTTGAACATGCACCCAGCAAGAGTGGGTTCACATCCGAAGTGTTGAGCTTCGGGCTGGAAGAACATGATGAATCGCTTCAAATGTTTCAACTTTGAGAAGATACGTCATGGAAGGAGTCGAGTCCACTATCTTCCATCCGCACCATCGGCCCATCCGATCCATTTGAGGATCCGGTCGTGGACCCTCCGGGCTTCCGGGCCTTCCAACGAGAGCTGGAGGCAGCCAGCGCCGGGGAAACCGGGCGTGGTCCCAAGGGCCGTGGGAGGGGTTGCGGTGCGGGCCAGAAGGGCAGAGGAGGTACTGGTAGGTACTGGTAGGTCCTGCACTTTTGGGCTTTTTCGGTCTTTTGTGACAAAGCTATTCTGTCTCTAGGTTTGAAAGGACATGCGTAGGAAACAGCCAATCAACAAGAAATAGCCTTCCTCAGGATCTACTGACGCCCTCAAGCCGAGAATTCGAACCGACTCTAAATCTGTGGGTCACTGGTCATTCTCGGGCTGGAGCCAAGGCCAAGACTGATCATCATCCACCAAGATAGACCCAACTGCCCAACTGCCTCGTGAGGAACTTCATGGTTGGCGTGTCACGAAATCAGGTCGGCAAAAGGACCACCCTACCCAGTCAGTCAAACACCCTTTAACCATCAACCACTTTTGAGGATTGGGGGACACAGCACTCAACAGGGAGAGATGAAGAACAAGTGGACAGTTGGGCTAAAAACCTGTCCGGCTCGGGATCCCAAAACGGCGGAGTTGGCCACTGGACTCACCTTCTCCTCGCGCAGGAGCAGCAGCGCAGCTTGCGATCGAAGAAAGACCCGCAATGGCTGATCTTTTGCTTTAAGCCCCATGGGATAGGCCGGGGTGCGAGTTTTCTCCGAAACGCTGGTGGAGTGGTGTCCGCTTCCTTTATTTAAAGGTGAAGTGACTAAGTGGCTTTTCAATTTGCGAAGTGGGAGACTACTCACTACTCAAATCCACGGCTGGAGGGGAAGAATGAAACAAGCTGAACAAGCTCACAGTCCTTTACCTGTACCACCAAGACCATGCTTTCGCATCTGTTGAAAAAGTCTCACAGTGGTTTGAGGAGACTTTTGGGGGCCTCCTAGGCCTCGGCATGGACTTGATTCAGATCCCCAACTTCAGAGGTCAAAAGCCACTGCTCCGGGAGCTCGAATCGCTCAGTGAGGCAACTGGATGCTGGGTTTGGCCAGCGCGTTGCTGATGGCATGGCTTACAGGAAGGCTCTTCGCGCACATGGGAAACCCCAGGAGCTGCGAGTGGTTTGGCGCCAAGTCACCTTTGTGCCGATGGCAGGAGGACTTTCTGCCTCAGAAACTGCGCGAGAGGGTCCAGGATTTTGTGAGCAATCCATTGAGCACCAAGGCCGGGAGAGAGAGAGAGGGGTATGAGATCTCGGATCCTCCATTCTTCCGGTCCATTGAACCGGGCCCAAACCCAAACAGAATACCGGGGAACGAGTTCGCACCATCTCGACCCTGTGAGCCGTGCCGGTGCCCCTGGACCCGCCTCTGTGTTGAACGGAAGAGCCTGAGTTGATGGCTGGGGCCCGATCTCGGGGTGACATGCCGAAAAAGAGAGCATCGATACAGCAGAAACCTTCACATCTGGTTTCTTCTGACCCAGGATCACAACCAGAAACCGCTTGCATCAAGCTAGAATGACTACAGTCAGCTGCCTTCTCTCCCGCTCCTGTTCTCTTCAGCACCGGCAGAAGGGGGTCCGGGGACGGCTTCAACGAAGCGCCGCATCGGTTCGGATTCCTCCACCGATGTCCGACTACTGAGCCCCGGTTCCATCTCGTCGATGAATGGATCGATTTCAGAGCTAGAAGGCCACTCGAAGGCCACTAGAACCATGTTTGGGACACGTGTTGATGTCTGGGATGTCTGGGATGTTCCACAGATTCTTTCCCGGAGCCAGACGGTGGGTCAGGTCACCACTGTGGAAACGTGTTTGGGGGATTCTTCTTTGCGCTTGTTCCAGGTGAAGATGAGAGATCTGGAACATCTGAAGAAGCTTGGTAGCATGAGACCTGATCAGTTTGGGCAAATGACCACTGTCCGACACCCCCCGGCCTCAAAAAGGCATGCCTTTTGACATGGTGCATGGTTCTGACATAGGGTCCTGGTTGTACTTTGGATTTAACCCATGATTCTTGGATTACAACACCCCTCACAAGGGCTTACCTCGCTGGTTCTTCTGCAAGCAGGGCTTGCCAAGTGCCATTCGCTTGATCTCCCTGTTCTCCTCCATGTTCACCATTGACATCTGGTGATATGGGTGAAGGGCAAGCCCTTTCATAGGCATAAAGGGGTGGATTTTTAGAAAGTACCACGAACCATTACAGTTTTCCTGTCAGAACGCACTCTTATGTGATCGACTCCGAGAGAAATACAACAAGATACCCTTTTTTCGAGCACAAGCTGACTTTTGCATCCTGTGATGTTTATTTTTTTGTTTTTTTCAGAAGCTTCCACATGGAAAGTCCTGTCTTTCACACCGTTCCTCCTCCCACTCCATCCACAGGATCTACTGGAAGGGCTGCTCCTATCGGAGGGTCTGTAAGGAGATGAAGTTCAAGCAGATCCTGGTGGCCACTTGGCCTCACTCCCCCGAAGAGTCGTCCGCAGGAAAGCAGGGGAAGCTCGTCTTCTACGGATCCTCTTTCTCATTGAGGATCGATATGGACTTGTTTCAACTTCACTGGACGAACCCCGGAAGACATCCCGGAAACCAACCCATTCATCCGTCAGCGACACGTTGCTGGTCGGACCACACGGAAGGACCTGTCGGCGGCGGACGTTCAGGTCACATCAGGAGCTTGGTTCGGTGAGCTCTTCCTCGACCACACGCTGTTTTCACAGAGGCATGGCGCCTGTTCCGGGCGCGCGTACCGGGGCAGGCGCGGAACAGGTCAGGTATATAGGGGTCTGAAAAGGATATGAACGGATTGGAAAGGGGAACAAGCCAAGCATGGGTGCGCAGGACCCCAGAAAAAGCTACAGAGGAAGAGGCCACACATTTACAAGTGGTCGTTTACCCGGTGCAAAAGCAACAATTCTACATACCCAAGAACAATTGCCTCACCGGAAAGTTAGCTCGAGTTTCTCTTTCCTGCAGATAATCCCGGAGTTTTTCTTTAGGACATCGGGCCTGGACTATCTATTTCTTGACATTCGGAAAGCAGAAGCAGACGCATCGTCCTGGAAGGAGAACCTACCGAAATAGACTGCGCAGTGCTTGGAATCTTTTTGTTCAATCGTTTTTCGACATCATACTTCAGATGTTCGTTTTGGCCGGACGCTTGGTCAAATTCTTTCTTTCTTCTTCCCGCCAGTGGCCAGTGGCCCGCCACCCATTGAATCCATTGAACTCTTGGGGCTACCAGACCGCTGAAACGCCGC